ACTGTTAAATTGTTACGTACTACTATTCACTGAGCTTGGCTCACTTTATGTTATGTCTTTTTCTATAGGAACTCCACCTGGAGGTCAGTCTCAACCCATGGCATCTGTTCTACTTATGTTAACCTCAGGGTGTCCAGACACTTAAACGAAGGCAGCTCATTTTATGGAGTTTTGCTAAGTTTTTGATTTTGTACCCTGATTGTCTGTCTAAAGAGGAAATAACAAAAACTAGCATTCGCAAATGCTCAAAATAATGCGTGCCATACGCCATATCTGACGTGCACTGAGTGCCGCCCTCAGGTGGTTCATCCCCTGATCACATCACATTATCCTCCAGGTTCACTGATCTAGTGACAATAGACTTTGCTAAGCTTGGTGGGAGGACAACCCCGTTGTCAAACAAATCCTGCACTTCGTGGTGAAGACGGAAGCAATTGTCGGTGGTATGGCCAGTCTGTTGATGGTACGCGTTGTACTGGGTGGCATCATGACTAGGTGGAAAACGAATAGGGAGAGGTCGAGGCTCGAGGGGTTTGAGATGCCCCTTTTCAGCAAGGATTTGAAGAGCCTTGGACAAAGGCATATAGAGGGTGTGGAAGACCCTGCGACCTCGGGGTAGATACTTCCAGGTTTGTGAATTTTTACTGGATGCACTAGCAAAGGGGTCAGCAGGTGCTGGCTTGGTCTGCTGATCTTTCCCGGGTGTAGAATTAGAGTTAGGGAGAACAGTTCTGGTACGATGGCCGTTCTCTCAATTTTTTCCTTGGCTCGAACTACCCTCATTCTGAGTGACAAAAGTGTCATCCACAGTTTTCGCAGCAACTGCGAGCACCTGCTATTTGTTCAGTCCCCCGGCTTTCAAAGCCTCACCATCCTGCAGAAGTTGTTCATAGGGATCAGTGTCTGCCCCCACCTTGTTCGTACCACTTGCCTTAGCTTGGTCGAAGGTTTGGGTTGCCATATCAGTGCGAAGTCCTATTGTTGTCGACATGTCATAGCCGGAACTTGGGATGGTTTCGGGTTGACTGAGTTCGATTACAATTCGCCCCAATAGCGGGGGCTCTTCTGGCATGAAATTTCTGACATATGATGTGGTCGATGGCGGAGCCGACATTCCGAAGGCTAGATTAGCCATAGATCTCTGAAGATCCCCAATAATTCCCATTAGCTCATAAGTGGTGGGCTCACGGGTTTGGAATAATTGGGGTTCCCAGATTGGGTGTGCGGCAGGTGACCTGGGCGAGCGTTGCCTTTCAACATCGGTCTCACCCTGCATGGCGATTCCCTGGTTTAGTGTTGTTGCCATGACCACAATTTCTTCTGAATTTTGCGTCATCATGAGTCTGCTGAACTGAACAGAGGTGATGTGACTGGTGACTAACGGATCAGATGAACCTGTGAGCCTTGAATGGCCTTTCTCTACCTTGCCTCAGCGAAGGAAAACACCGGTTGCTCTAAACTGAATTTGTGACCTGACAAAGTCTATCAGCACAAATCTAATGAACCTCGGGGGTTATTGGAGCCTTCTGAAGCTACGGTTCCAAGACTACCTTGCAAAAGAAGAAAACAGACAGCATTTCAGCCTGATTTCACCAGAATAAATGTGAGCAAAGCTGAATGACTGCATTCTCTACTGAATTCTGCCCAAAATTCTGCCTGTAAACTGATACCCTCAGGTAAAACTGATTCCCAAATATTGATGCCCTCAGGCCTGATACCCAGACTTGCAAACTGATGCGTGCATTTCTGTAAAGGCCAACTCTAAAAGCACATAACAAGCAAGTGAGAGCCGAAACACCCCTATGTTGGGATAGGGTTTCCCTGTCCTATCTTGTCAGGAGCTAGGGTTTCACTACGCATACAATGGTTTCAAACAACCTATAATCGGGTAAGTAACATGTCCTAGTTTGGAATAGTCACTATGGATTCTAATATGCACTAGGTCGAATGGTCAAGAAGGGCGCCTCAGTAAAAACTGAGGTTTGTGTTCCCGTCGTGGCAGAGCCCACAACCGGTCAGCCTTATGGCACGCTTCTCAAAGCAAGCCTCCTGCAAACCATTCAGGAATAGCATACGGCAAACACGGTGTCCTAGGCGCACCAATGCAAATGAAATGCAAAGAAACACATAAGTGTAGTCAAAACAAGATATCATGAGTTCGAGTCAAGTTCTTTAACTCCCCAGCAGAATCACCAGAAACTGTAGATGTGCCCGGGTTAGGCTTTGCTACTACAATTCGGACTCAAATGTCACGGTTCCGAATCTAATCTCACAAAGCGCAATGCAAGACCGATAAATCACCAAAGAGTCCAAATCCGGCAAATCGTTTTGGAAAACTAATTTTTTGTAAAGAAGTGCCAAACATGGACTGCTTTGCCAGATACAGAGTCGCCACCTAAATATTTTATTTTTGGGAAACTTACGAAACCCTGACTCGTTGCCTATGGCCACGTGTCCGTCATCACCAAAGTTGCCTCGGCTCGGGAACTTGGGTACGAGAGGGGAAGGTCTTACAATGAGCACCCCCGCTTGCCCGATCAAAGATCGGCCTGTACTAAGCATGATATCTTGTTTTTGAAAACACATGTGCTCTTATTCCGGTTAATTAGGTAATCTTACTACGTAATGCGCACAGCATACAAGCATAAACTAGATCGCCTAATTTGAAACAAAACATTGTATATCCGTTTGTTTTGAAAATGGTTTGAAGTTTGCTACTCGCAAGTAGGCTAAATCAGGGATTTTAATGAATTGTTCCAATTCAAGCAATCCAACCTTCACCCACAGGCATTCGGGCAGTTATATCAACTAAGCAGTTAGCCTCATGGCAAGCATGCTATACATGGCAATCAATAACACACATGCAATATGCTAAAGCGTAAACACTCACAGTGTACTCCGAGCCAAAACAAAGAACTAGTTAGTAATCATGCATGATCCTAGTTCATTTCAAGATGGCTAATGCAACATATGCGAAAATGCATCTAAAGTAGGCTCGGCTATTCTAGAATGTCATGCGAAATGCGACTTGATAATCATGTATTCAACTTGGTATTGAACTACAATGCAGTTTGTATGATGCACCGAGCCCGGAGCATGCAAGACAGATGAATGGATGCACGCATGTAAGCATAAGGTATGTTAAACAAAATATTCCCTAAAACTAACCATCGTAAGCGGTAAGTAAAAGGGAGAAAGACGTGGGGTTGGAAGACATGCACACACGCATGCACACTTATTACAAAATTCGCCCTCTCGACGGAGGGTCCGAATGAATAATACAAATTAACTAACTAACTAACTAACTAACTAACTAATTAGTTATTGCATAACCAAATTGAATAATAAACAATCTACTAGGCTAATTATTACAAAACTTAATTAATTAACAAACTAACTAATTAAATTATAAATTGAAGCTAATTAACAAATAAGCATTAAACTGAGCTGCTCCAGCTCTATTTGAAAATGCATGCACGCATTCGGTTTCTCACCCCGAAAAGCCTTCCGATTTTCTCTCTTGAGGCTCTGTCTGCAGGGTGTCCTTAAGAACTTGCTATAGGATCTTACCAAATCCATACTGGGGAGTGCATCAGTGGCCTACCGGCCATGAGGAGCTGCTACCGACACCCCTGCCGACCAAGAGTGCACATTGCCGGCGAAGGATAAAGGGCTGCTGGCCAGTAATAAGAGGGTGCCGGCCACTGATGTGCTGGGACACGAAGCAGCAGCAGAGCACAAAATAGAGGAAAATGACGGTCTCCCAAGGGTATGTATGCACTATGCCACCCCATATCACCTTAAAATATCAAGGGAGAGGCACAATCGGATCCAAGCCCATCAATCACGCATCTCGATGCATGATGGCCAAAGATCCAACTGGTGCAAATTTCAATGAGAAATGAATGCACAAAAACACATAAATGCCTAGAACTCTATCATGCATCATCAAGAGCATCGGCGACTGAGAATTGAGACACGTTTCATCACTTCAAGTATGAAACGTCCCTCGTTTCTCGTGCTCGGATTAATACTTAATCCAAATAACAATGCAACACAAGCATGGCAAACATGCAATATGACTTAAGCATGCGAACACGCAATGCAATATGAATAACCTAACAAGGCTAATGGCATGCATCATGCACAATGCTAAGAACAACTAGCATACACAATGCAAATGGACAACGCAGCATACAAAATGCGATGTAACCTAAGCATGCAAACACATGGCATACACAATGCTATGAACTACATGGAAACAATCATGGCATACTCAATGCTATGAACTACATGGCATGCTCAATGCTTAATGTAAGATAGCATTCTCAATGCAAGGTGACATGGCATACACAATGCTAAATGAGATGAGCATGCAAGCAACATACAAGTAAACATGCTAAATGGACTTAAACCAAAAGGGGTAGACCTCAGTCATGCCCAAATCAGTGGCCATTGCACCAAGAGACAATCTTCGCTCGACGAGCCCCCCTTTCTCCCCTCAAAGTTAATTTTGACAACCCCCTCCCTTAAAGTTGGAGCTATCTATGATTGGTGCATGCAAAGTCTTGGTCCTATGCATAGCTTACTAGATTTAGTATGGAATAATTTTGCCCTTCCTGAGGCTAAGTTTACTACCTGGCTTGCTTGGAAGGGTAGGCTAAAAACTTTTTCATTCCTTAGCAGAATTGGAGTACTGTCAGGTCCTGAATTGTTGCCATGCATGCTGTGTAAAGCTGAGGAGGAAACTGCTAATCATATTCTTCTGTCCTGTTCCTTTGCGTGGAATGTTTGGTCTAAAATCATGGTCTGGTGGGGCATTCAGTGGGTAATACCAGGTTCTTTTGATGACCTGATGCATTAGTGGTTGGGGTGGAAGTTCAAGAAAAAGGCAAAACAAGTTTGGAGAGTTATTTTCATCTCTGTGGTTTGGTCTCTGTGGTCATATAGAAATGACTGCATTTTTAATAATACTTAGCCTGATATTGATGATTTGTGTGAGGTAATAAAAGTTAGAGTGGCCATGTGGGTGAAGTCTTATGAGTTGGGTTGTGTCTACTCCATTCAGGAGATTGTCTCAAATATTAAATGGGTGAGTCAACATCTTTACGGGTGAGCTCTGCTAATTTGTGGTGCTGCTAATTTGTTTCAGCTCTGCTGCTGTTGCTTTATTTTCTTAAGCTTGCTGTTCTGCTCTGACTTTGTTGCTCTGGATCTATTAATCTGTTGCTGTTGCTGTTACTTCATTCATGTGTGGTGCTGCTAATTTGTGTGAGCTCTGCTACTGGTTCGTTCTGGCTGTTGCTGTATTTTTCTTCAGCTTGCTGTTTTGATCTGACTCTATTGCTCTGGATCTGTTAATCTGTTGCTGTTGCTGTTACTGGGGCAGTTCAGTTGGGTCATTTGCTTTGTTACTTTGGTGTTGTAATCTGTTTGTTGTGTGGTGTTGTGGAGGTTGGTTTCTCATCAACTTCCTGGGATGCTAGCATATGATTGGGCGTGCGTTTGGGTGCCAACTTAGTTGGGATCCATTTGTTTGCTCTTATGCTTGTGCACCCTCTCTTGTTTTTGTTGTAATCTTTTCCATCAATAAAGTTTTCTTCTTATTTTAGGTTCTTTAAGTGTCTAGTGGCTAGTATTTAGTTGCCTGCTCATTGGCTTCTGGTTCTATCAAATACATGTTTTTTATAAGTAAATATTTCTGGTTTGATTAAACATATCATAACTTTACATCGCTGTGAATCACTTGATTATTCTGAAGGTGAACCTTATTGTGAATTCTGTTTTATATATATATATATATAATTTGCTGTGGCAATGTGATTCTGCACCTTATGCGCAAGTAGTCGCTTGTTTTCTACGAATTGGGGGGAATTAGTTGCTGCCTGATGGACTTGCTTTTTGATATCATTTTCTGCTAGGTCCTATGTGAAGTTATTAATAGTGTTTGAAATTGGAAGTAGTGGCAAACCTGGTTTGGTTTCCCCTAATGTGTGAGTATGCCAACATAGGTTCTTTGATAATAATAATAAGGTTTACTTACCGTTGTACGAAAAATTAATGTTGTGGTAAAAGATTGGCTCTATTAGATTTTGGAAAAAAGTGACTTTCTTGTATGGGGTTCAGAGGTTGACTGTTATTCCCGGAAGGTTTTTAATTTTTTGCAGAAAAGAAATTGGTGTTTGACATGAATTGATGCTCTCTTTACCTTCCCTCACAATGATGGCTTTGTTATCTTATGGAGAGCTTGTTTCTAGTGGACAGGATTTTTAGTGTCATGTTCATTGCCACCTCTATGAAATGGCCAGAATATAGGAATTCATTTGAGTTGCTGTAACATTTTTGAGTTGCTATTTCTATTAGACCTTGAACTGCATGTTGACTCTTAGAACTCTCTCTCTCCCCCTATCCATCTATTGCATGTTGACTCTTGGAACTATCCATCTACATATCTATTTATGATCAATCAACACGCAATTTCTTGTCATGATACTCTCTTTCTCTCTATCCATCTATATATATATATATGATCAATCGCTATGCAGTTTCTTATCATGATACTCTCTGGACTCAGTTGAAGAGTAGCAATGCTGTTGTTAGAGGCAGTTTTGCAGGAAAACATGGCGTGCTTTGTTAACTATACATACAATGTTTCATCCATTCATGATAAGATTCATATGTTCTTTGCTGAAAAAATTGCTGAAGAATGGGATCCTTTAATAACATATTATTTTTTTGAAGTGCTGTGCTTCGTGTTACTGGATTAGTGCTTAATTGTTTGTATTCTCTCTGAAGCTAAACTTTCTTCTTTTTTTACTAGTATCTTATTTCTGTACTTACCAAAAAAAGAAGTATTTTATTTCTGCATTTGGTTAGCTCCACTTCTATGTAATTCTTGAACTTTAACTGCAAAATGGATTTACTTGTATCTACTTCAGACTCAAACACTGGAGCAAGAAGCATATCCAGCATTGGATGAGTTGACTTCTAAAATCAGCACACTTAACCTTGAGCGTGTTAGACAAATAAAGAGTCGTCTCGTTGCAATATCTGGTCGTGTACAGAAGGTAAATGTGAATAAGCTGTATAGGAATTGTAATCAATCAATATAAATCAATCAATAATACATACAATTTATTCTCTCTCTATTTCTCTTTATACATTAAATTTTACACACGCTGAGTTATATATAATGTGAACAAATGCTCCCTTTCAAAATAGTCGTTTTCTTGTATGAGTTCTGATTATTTCTATCTAAATAACTCCTGGTTTCGTGGACACCTATTGCCATAATTCATATTCATACATTTTCACAAGAGTGTGGACTATATCATATATGAAGATATAATGTATTCATACATCAACTATAATTTCTCTAGGATCTGACAAATGTTCAATTCCTTGAATGAAAATTTAACTTGAGTCATGTGTGTTCCATAGAAATACTCAACTCCAATGGAAGTACAGGTACTTTAGCAACATTTTGGTATAGTGATGCTTAATTTCCAATATGGCATTGCCTTGAAGAACTTCAAACTATTTACACTAATGGGTTCTTCACATCATCTCCTTAGTGAAGGATTACTTGCTGGGAAACTTTACTCAAAATGCTTATTACATCAATCAGTTATTTACAGAAATAAACTTAGACCATCATGGCCTGAGCAACTTCTTTCTTCATTTATTTACTTAATTTGTAGTAGTGCTATTAACGCCTTCTTGGCTCTGTCTACCCTTTCCCCCTTTCCTCATTTTCTTTGAGGTGGGCTTGCTCTCATCTAAGAGAAAAGGCAACCCTTTGGGACACACTTTGTCTTAGACAGAGCCTTTAGTAACTCTGTGCTTCAAAAGACTTGCAAAAGTAGTTGAGTTGTGTAGATTGTCAGCAATCCAATGCTTGTCACAACCCTTTGCCTTCATTAATCATGAATTCGTCTTTCTTGCATTATTGGTGTCAATATCAATATTTTCCTTATGCCGAGATTGTTTCTGGCTTCTCGCTTAAACATTTGTTGATAGAAGAGGTAGATTCTCTTTTAGTGGTTAAGAGTGGTGATTAGACTCCCTAATGAATAATTGATAACCAAGAACTTCCTAAGTGGACAATGCTCTTCTACTTGAGTCATGAGATACTACAATTCTTTACCTATGTTTAAACACCATTTTTTTTGTTGTCTGCATCCCTAAAAACAGTTAATTATGTCGTTTAGGACCCATCATGATAATAAATAAATAATTATTGAAATGTTCTTCACTTCCTTCTTGGCAATTTCTTGGTGATGTCATTTTTGTTTATGCTGTTGTGAAGTTTTGTAGTGCACTAAACTAGCATTTATTGTGAAAAGGACCAACTTTATGGTATTTGGTGTTAGGCATTGAAGTTTATGTAGTATTTGCAGAGATTGCTCAACCATTGCGTCACTTGACTCATCTGCATTTTTTTGAAGGTCCAATAAAATATCACTTGTCTTATTTGCATTTTTTTGAAGGTCCTATAAAATAAGATCATATTTCAATGTTTAGCTTGAGGTTTCACAGAAATTTTGGGCTATTAAGATTATTTGATGTATGTTTTGTACTTTGTGCAAACTGATGTGGAAACTAGGTGGAGAGGACAAAGTTATGAGATAAGCATTGCTGATGTGTATTGTGGGCATTATCACTGTTTGTGTTTATACCAAATTCACATTTTTTATGCAAAAGCACACGACTTCGGAAAATACATTGTTATTGCCTTTAGTAATATCTCTAATTTTGTTTGTTTATTTTTTTTAAAAAACATTCTTAATCACTCCATGAACATGTCTAGACTGGTATACAAGGCTTTATTTTGATTTGGTTTATAATTTTAATAATTTATTTCATGTAGACTGGTAGCAATTGTTAGCATATGCATGTGAATAAGTTTGATTGACCTAAACAAGCAGAGAAACATAAAACATAAAGCTCAGTCTTCACACTGTTTTTTGTTTCTTTTATTTTGTTTTGTATTGTTCTTTTATTTTTTTTGAAGGTTTCATTTGTGCAGAATGATAGCTTTTAAGTAGAAGCTGCTCAAGTTTTATGCCACTTTAGCTCATTGCCTAAATAAAAAAAAATTCCTAGAAGATAAATGGTCTAGCCATAAATTAAAGGTTTATAATGAGATGGAATGATTATTTTTGGTGAATAATAATTTAGCTACACTTTATTTTTATTATTATTTTTAATCAATCAAACAGTAGAATGAATATTTTCTCATTTTATTTTAGTGGATCAAACACTACTTTGATGCTCAAAATGCCTTTAATAATGTGTAATTTGACCTAAAGTCTCAATCATTTTGTTTGGTTTTGTTCATAGGATCAGGTTCTTATTATTTTTATTTTTTATTTTTTTTTAAGAAATAGAAATTAGATTGTCTAATGATTATTTTGGGTATTACTGTTCTAGTTGAATTTTAGGCTTGGCTATTAAACGGAAAAGGTTGAATTCCTTACATTGATTAAATTTATCCACTTTTACTTTTCAATTGGTTTTTACTTAATGAAAATGGGAAATTTCATCTTCTAAACTGCTGCTGCACTACTCTGCTCTGTGTACCATCTTGTTGTAGTAATTGTTATATGGATGTTGTGCTGGAAATAATTTGCTCTGGCCCTGTGTAGCAGTTTTTTCAAAGTGCTACTGACTAGCTGTCAAAGCCTCATTGTGAAAGAGCTAAAATAATTATTTCGATATAGGAGAAGGAATGAATCAAGCAATTTCGAGTTTACAAGGTATACTTTTTTTTTTATTTGCCTAAAGTTTGTTAAACTTTTTCACAAAATAATCATTTAGTTGTCATCTAGAATGTTACTAAGTTGCCTATCAAACACCAAATTTGATATTCAATTGTTTGTTATGTACTTGACATGTCCAGAATTTAATGGTATTTGATTACAATTCTAGATTCTAGATTATTTGAAACTCTAAAATACCATCTTAGTGTATTTGTTAATCATTTTGAGCATTGATGCATGTAACTAATTTTATTAGTTTTTGTGAATGCAATTTGTTAGCAAGTGGAAAGTTGAAGATGGACAAAACATGGGTATATTTTCCAAGGTATATTTCTAAACACAACCATAAATATGCTTTCAAATGTTAAGTTACTCATTTTGTTTGAATGGAATTAATAATAATTTTAAGTTTTCAGAGTATCAAATGAGTATGTGGATGGAGCGAGAAAATTTGTCAACATGGCTAAGGCCTCGTTTGGGAACCCTCCTTTTTAGTCAAAAAGTCAAAAAGTTACTAAGGGTTGGTTTGAGATATTCTAAAAAAGTTTACTTTTTGACTTATTGGCTTATATAGGTTGGGTTTGGGTTGGGTTTGATGTGATGTGTTAGAGAGATGATGTGATTTAAATAAGATGATGCGACTTAAATAGGATAGTGACTTTTTGACTTTTGTATTATTTAGTGTACCCCAAACCAAGCCTAAATTAGCCAAAAAGCCAACAACCCATACCAAAAAGTCAAAGATTCTCTTTTCTCTCTATTTTTTGCACATCTTTTCGTAAAAAGTCAAAAAGTTATTCCAAACATACTAGTTTTTTTTAGTTCATATTTTAGCCAAATAGCCAAAAAGTTATTAAATTAGCCTGTTCTCAAACGAGGCCTAAGGCAAATTCAGGGAATACCGATATGATCATATGCCCTTGTGGAAGTTGTCGAAACCTGTCACAACAACATTGTTATACTGTTTTTGAGCATTTGGTCATGGTAGGGATGGATCCTAAATATACGTCATGGATTCTTCATGGGGAACGACTAAGTGAACTTGTAGAAGTTCAGGACAATGTTGAAAACCTATACCAAAAAGTCAAAGATTCTCTTTTCTCTCTATTTTTTGCACATCTTTTCGTAAAAAGTCAAAAAGTCATTCCAAACATACTATTTTTTTTAGTTCATATTTTAGTCAAATAGTCAAAAAGTTATTAAATTAGCCTATTCTCAAACGAGGCCTAAGGCAAATTCAGGGAATACCGATATGATCATATGCCCTTGTGGAAGTTGTCGAAACCTGTCACAACAACATTGTTATACTGTTTTTGAGCATTTGGTCATGGTAGGGATGGATCCTAAATATACGTCATGGATTCTTCATGGGGAACGACTAAGTGAACTTGTAGAAGTTCAGGACAATGTTGAAATTCCGGAGACGTAGGTTGTTTAGAGATGTTTATGCACACGATGATTTTCCGCAACCTAGAAATGAAAGTAGAGAGAGGGAGTTCACACAAGCATTAGAAGATGCTGAAACTCCTTTATATCCAGGTTGTACAAAGTACACTAAGTTCTCAGCAATTGTCGCTTTATACAAGCATAAAGCTGTGTATGAGGCATCTGATAAGAGTTTTGATGAAAATTTGAGATTAGTGTCTGACATGCTACCAGAAGGTAACACACTTGTGCAATCTATATATTCAGCAAAGAAGTTGCTTAAAGCATTTGATCTTGGGTATGACAAAATACATGCTTGTATCAATGATTGTTGTTTATTTAGAAAAGATTTACAGCATATGGAGGCATGCCTGAAATGCAATTGTTCACGGTGGAAAGTAGATAAGCGAACTAAAAATATTAAAAAGGGGGCTCCAGCGAAGGTGTTGCGTTATTTTCCCATAATTCCAAGATTTGGAAGAATGTCCAGGTCACAAGAAAAAGCAGAACAATTAACTTGGCATTCCACTCACAAAAGTCAAGATGGAAAGATGCGACATCCAGTTGATTCGTTGGCATGGGATGCAATTGATCACAAGTGGCCCTCTTTTGCATCGGATCCACGAAACCTTCGACTTGGTCTTGCAAAGATGGATTCAATCCCTTTGCAAATCTTAGCTCAACGTACAGTTGTTGGCCAGAGATGTTAGTGACTTATAATCTTCCTCCATGGTTATGCATGGCAAGGGAAAATATAATGTTGACATTACTTATACCGGGACCAAAGCAACCAGGGAATAATATAGATGTGTATCTGCAGCCACTTACAGAAGACCTACAAGAATTATGGAATAATGGTGTGGAGATCTATGACGCAGCCAGCAAGTCTATGTTTAATTTGAAGGCTATATTGATGTGGACAATAAATGATTTTTCAGCTTATGGGAGCTTAGCTGGATGTGCCACAAAAGGGAAAGTTGCATGTCCTATATGTAGCATTAACACATGCTCCCAGTGGTTGAATCACAGTAAGAAGACAGTGCACATGGGCCACAGGTGATTTCTATCTTCGAATCATCCATTTCGAATGAAAAGAAGTTGGTTTGATGGAAAGCAAGAACTTGGGGGAAAGCCAAAACCATTGAGTGGATCTGATGTGTTACATGCAGTAAGGGACATCGAAACTAATTGCGGAAAAACTACAAAGGAAAGGGAAAAAAAAAGGGCCCAGACCAAAAAGAAGGACGATAAAAAAGAGTCAGATTGCGTCCAACCATGGAAGAAGAAGTCCATATTTTTCAATCTACCATATTGGAATGTAAGTCCTTGGAAAGTAGGATTTCATATTCTTTTGTCTATCATTAGTCTTAGTTAAACTTTTTCTTCTAGTTTTTTAAATAATAAATCTTTTGTTGATGTTGCAGGCATTGCTTTTACGTCATAACTTGGATGTGATGCACATTGAGAAAAATGTTTGTGAAAGTTTTTTTTGCACACTTTTAGATGTTAAGGGGAAATCAAAGGATGGTCTTAAGGCTCGTAAAGATTTGGCAGAAATGAGAATTAGAAGTGAATTGCATGCAGAGGATAAAGGATCCCATTTTTACTTGCCACCAGCATCACATACACTTTCAAAAGATGAGAAGAAGATTTTTTGTTCTAGTCTACAAGATTTGAAGTTGCCTGATGGTTATAGCTCAAATATTGCTAATTGTGTTTCATTACAAGAATGCAAGTTAGTTGGACTCAAGTCACATGATTGTCACGTCCTGTTTCAACAATTGTTGTCAGTCGCATTGAGAGAGCTTTTGCCAAAAGGACTAAGGAATGCCATATTCCGAATGTGCTCTTTTTTCAATCAGATATGTCAAAGGGTGATTGATAGGAATAAGATAGAACAACTTGAAAATGATGTTGCCGAGACATTATGCATAGAAAGATTCTTCGCTCCATCATTTTTTGATATTATGGTACACTTAACAATTCATATAGGGCGAGAAGCTTGCTTATGTGGGCCAGTGCAGTTTTGTTGGATGTACCCATTTGAAAGGTGAGTTTATATCATATTTTAAATATAAGTATTGTTTTTTCGCTAACATAAATAAACTTCTAAAAAAGTTGTTAAGCTGAATTTTATTGTTGTTTAGATACATGAAGACACTCAAAGGTTATGTTAAAAACCGAGCAAGACCTGAGGGATGCATAGCAAAATGCTATCTAGCTGAAGAGTCCAGCAATTTTGTAGTGGGTATATGAAGAAAGCAACTGAAATAGGTGTTCGACATAATCGCAATATAGAGTTTGAAAGTGACACAATACTAGAAGGACGCCCAATTACTTTGGGAAAATCAATAGCGATACCAGATGATGTGTTGCAAATTGCTCATCGATGTGTGCTAATAAACAGTGCAGAAGTCCAACCTTATCTAGAGTAAGTATGATGAGTTAAATACTCCTTTGTAGTTAACTATTCAAAGAATGGTGGGTTCTTACCATTTTGCTTTCTTATTAGGATGCATGCGGAGGAGCTTAAGCATTCTGATAGGCGCTTATTGAAGGATGCTGCATTACTACATTCTAGACAAATGGATACTTTTTGTCAGTGGTTGAAGGAGAAGATCAATTCTTGTGGTAGTGAGGTGTCGAATACATTGAAATGGCTTGCAGCTGGCCCAAGAAATGATGCAATGCCATACTTGGGTTATGTCATTAATGGCCATCGCTTTCATATAACCAATGTTGAGAGGGCTACACAAAATAGTGGTGTTTCCATCGAAGCAGAAACTCTTTGTTGAGCTAGTAAGAGAGATACCACACAAGTTGTGAGAAAAATCTCTTTTTATGGGGTTATTAAAGAGATTATTTTGTTGGACTATTATAAATTCCAAGTCCCTTTATTTAAATGTGATTGGGTAGCTACTGGAAATGGTGTCAAAGTTGAAGATGGATTTACTTTGTGTTAAAATCCACCTATTACACACCTACCACTACCACCTACTACACACTCACCTACTTCACCTACTCTCCACCTACTCCTCACCTACTCCTTACCTACTACACACTCACCCTCTTCTATATATAGGAATCATGAATCATTGTAATAAATATAAATACATCAATTAATAATACATCATTTTTTACATGGTATCAGAGCTATAAGATTTAGGCCTATATTCCTTTCTTTCCGGCGGGCAGCCGTCCGGCAACCATGCCTTCGCTGCCCGCTGGAGTTTTTCAACACACCTGTTTTCAACAATGTTCTTTGCCTGCCTTTGATTCTCTCAAATACCCAACGTTTCAAACACCTGGCCATTCATTTGACTTCAATCCAGCAGGTTCTGCATGCACTAGCGCAATTGTTGTCTCTTGGTCACTCAGACACCTGCTGCAAACCTCCCTGTATTACTTTGATCCATTGAAGCCAAAGATCTCGTTCTTGACTTGATTTGCTTGTTCCTGGCAAAGCAACCATCAAGCAGAATGACACCGATTTCACGCATCTCGCCCTGCTTCGGAGCATCTCAAGAGAGGGACTTGCCCCAATTTCACTCCCTTTTTGAAACCCATTTCGTCAATACCAGTTTCGCAACTGCCTTCTTTGTCTTCTCCGCCTCCATGGTTGTCCACGGCCACGACACCACCCTTCCGATCTCTCTCGACGAACTGCTCGTCCACTGTGGCGACTGGTTTGGTCCGTCGAGCCTTCCTGTCATGTCTTCGTCTCATGTATACCGACCTGTAGCGAGAACAGGTGAAGTCTTGCCTCCACAGGTTGAAACCACGTCGTTGAAGAACGATCCAACGACTTCTCTGAGCCTTTCGCTTCCCAGATAGGTACTCGAATCTTCATCATCCTTCTCTCTCTCTCTCTCTCTCGGGAGCTTGCAGAGATGGGATCGGTTTCACTACCGATAGGCGCTGGAACAGCCAGATTCAAAAGAGCAACTCTCTGTTCTTGCACGTGTGTGGTGGACGTTGGTAATGGAGTCCAGCTTCTCCACCGTCTTTTTGGCAGCTGTAAGTGTGGGATGTGATGTAAAGCAAAGCGTAAGGGGCTGATGTACTTCACTCTGTCGTGATATTTGTTAATATATATAGTTATATATATTCGGCACAGTGGGTTCTCACCTGGCACAGCAAGTTTGTTTGGTGGGCCATCAGAAGTTTTGGTGGAGTTACACGTGGGTGAATTTTGGCCCACGGTTTTGGGTTTCAAAACAAGCACATGGTTTGGTTTGGTGATCTTGACTTATGGTGGGGCCAGCCAAGTTTGATATTTTTTATTACCAGCAATGAGGTTGTATAGTGGCTTGTTTGGAGATGGGGCCCGCCACTACACATTGTTGGTAAAGCCACATTTCAGGTGAAGCTTTGTTTATCCACGTGATTGCTTTGTTTGTTGGTTTTAAATAATATATATATATATATATACATATATTTATATATATTCTGTATGTTGCAACAAAAGTGAGATGGAGGAGTAGTATGGATTGTCACGTGGGTCCGTCATTTAAGGAGGGATGTGATTATAAAATGGCTTTTGCAAGTGGTAGGGCCCACGGTGGTTATTTTTAAGTTGGTTTTGATGGTGTGGCCGTGGTTTTGAGTTGGAATGGGTGGGCCTACGGTGGTTATTTTTTTTAATTGGTTTTGATGGTGGTGGACTTCTTAGTGGGTCTTTGGATTTCAAATCAGTGGGTTCTTTGGGCTTGTGCTGTAATTGGTTTGTAAAGGTTTTTTGATGCATAGCTCCGTGGGTTTCTTCAATACCGCGGGATTTTGATTAGTGCAAGTGTGTGCTGTCCGTGGCCTCCATTGTTTTTGTGGTCCACGGCCAATTAAGGTAAATTAGAAATTTGTTTAGTCCATGAAGTTTGTTGTCTACTACATTTGGTTTTTGGTTATTTGGTTATTGATCCGTACATATTCATGTGATTAGGCTTAGAGCAGTTCTCTGACCTCTTCTGGTGTGGAGTGAGGGGGACACTGCCATGGGGAATTGAGGTGTGGAATTTTGCCATTGCTGGAACTGGGAGATGTATGGTGAGTTAATTGGATTTTGATTGGCTCTTGTGTGGACAACATTTTGCCTGCGCTGTGCTTCTTTGTTGTTGATAAATCCAAGTGGGTGAGTGGTTTTGTTTCCACTAAACCTAACCCACTACACCACTACCACCTCACCTACTCCACTAAACCTAACCCACTACACCACTACCACCTCACCTACTCCACTAAACCTAACCCACTACACCACTACCACCTCACCTACTCCACTAAACCTAACCCACTACACCACTACCACCTCACCTACTCCACTAAACCTAACCCACTACACCACTACCACCTCACCTACTCCACTAAACCTAACCCACTACACCACTACCACCTCACCTACTCCACTAAACCTAACCCACTACACCACTACCACCTCACCTACTCCACTAAACCTAACCCACTACACCACTACCACCTCACCTACTCCACTAAACCTAACCCACTACACCACTACCACCTCACCTACTCCACTAAACCTAACCCACTACACCACTACCACCTCACCTACTCCACTAAACCTAACCCACTACACCACTACCACCTCACCTACTCCACTAAACCTAACCCACTACACCACTACCACCTCACCTACTCCACTAAACCTAACCCACTACACCACTACCACCTCACCTACTCCACTAAACCTAACCCACTACACCACTACCACCTCACCTACTCCACTAAACCTAACCCACTACACCACTACCACCTCACCTACTCCACTAAACCTAACCCACTACACCACTACCACCTCCACTTCACCTACTCCTTACCTACTACACACTCACCCTCTTCTATATATAGGAATCATGAATCATTGTAATAAATATAAATACATCAATTAATAATTCATCATTTTTATAAATACATCAATTAATAATACATCATTTTTTACACTTTGGTTAACTTACAACATAGCAGACATCAATTTGAGAGAGATCCGTTTATTCCAGCGTCACAAGCAAAACAATTGTTTTATTTAAGAGATAATGATACATCCAATTGAGAAGTTGTACTTAAAGCACCCCGAAGAGGTTTTCATGATTTTGAAATGTATGATGACGATGCTTACATGCCATGTGAACATGTCGATATAGCTAGGCTTAAAATGGCCAATAGTGATGAAGATGAGTGCTATGTAAGGAGTGATTGTGAGGGTGTGGAAGTGTTGCGTGATGAATGAGTTACTCTTTATGTTTTGTTGACCTAGTAATGAAGTAAAATAATATTATAAGCACTTGTGTTCTATTGTGATTGATGTTTAAGAATCACTTTTTCACTATGTGATATTTGTGGTATGTATAAAATTAATTAGTAGTTTTTTTTTTCTTCCCCTTTTACAAAATACTTTCATATATTTGTATCTCATATAAAAAATATTACTTGACTTGGCTTGTTCTTTCATTTTTGCAGGTGGAACTCTTTTCTAAGGATTTAGTAATTGAAGTTGCCAACCAACAATGTGTGCAGAGGTAACTTTCAAACAAATATTTTTTTTTTCTAATTTATTTATTTTGGGTACACATTTTTAACCAATTATTGGCTGCCTTGCTTTTATTTTTTTCATGTGTCATAAAGAGTTCTAAAAAGGCAGCAAAAAGATATAGGAAAGAGCAATAAGCTATAGTTGCTGCCACAATGGACAATAGAAGTGATGGACCCATTAGAATTTCAGATGTAGGTTCCAATACTCGACAAATTGAATCACCAAATGCAGATGGAGTAGCTGACTCTAGTCAACAACCAAAGAAGAAAACTAGGGGGCCGTCAAAGTTAAAAATGCATGACAAAGGCAAACAAAAGCATGATGAGATCGACTTCAATGAAAGGAACCAATCGATAGGACAAGAATCAGTGCACTTATCAACCTTAGAAGAGATCTTAGCTCGGGAGATGGTGCTAATTAATATAGATTATTGGTCTGAAGTTTTAGATGAGATTAAGGATAAGTTATGGGTTTGTGTGAAGGTAGTATGTTTATGCAGTTAATTTTCATACGACAATTCATTATTTTCCCCTCTTTTGTAATACTAAATGTTTAGTTATATGAAAATACAGCTTAGATACAAAATACATGATATCCACAAGACACATGCGATGCAAAAGTTCGCAAAATTGTGGCGCAATTACAAGTCTGAACTATTATGAAAAGTAAGAACTCTCGTTACAGCAGGTAAAGGTCATTTAGCATGTAATATTGCCTTCACCAAACCTGATAAGATTGGTGGATGAATGGAATGCATTTGTGAAAAATCGATTTTCAAAAAGCTTCATTGTAAGTGTTTTTTCATAACAGTTTTATGTAGAAGCTCATTTCTTTTCATAACAATTAAGATAAAGATTATAAATTCTTAAAAAATGTGGGCATTTCAAATGTTTACACTCAGGAAAAGAGTGAAAAAATCAAAGAGATGAGAGCAAAGCCGAAGGTGTTACACACGATGAGTAGAAAAGGCTATGCATGGCTAGAGGAAGACATTGTAAGTTTGGCAATATAGACGACATTTATTTCGAAAGCATTTTGATTTTGTTGCTTCTAATTTTGTACTATGTTTTAATTTTTTTAATTTTTTATTTCTTTTCCAGAAAAATTAAAGCCAAGACCCAGATTCCATATCTAGAGTGGATGTTTAGATCAAAGGACATACAAGACAGAAGGGGAAACCTATCAATGAAGTGCTTCAGGAAGCAGTGGTATGAATTAGCTTAATATGTTATTAAAGCTTGTGATTTCATTCAATTCAATTGAAAGATTACTGGTTGCTACTTTACAATTGCTTTACAATTGAAGATTGCTTCTGTTGTGCTGTTTTGTTTGGGTTGTTATTGCTGTGTTGTTTTGTTTTGGTATGGATGTTGAGCAAATTGCCAATTTGTTTTACTCTTTTTTTTTTTGTTTGTTTGATATGTAGAGGTCTAGTTTGTCTTAAACAAAACCTATTAAGTTGTGCTTGTGATATTACTTCATTTTTTCAATTTGTTTTATAATTGCTTGTCTTATTGTGGTGAAGTAACTCTGAGGTGAGTTTTGTACTTGCTTTTGTAGTTAGTAGAGTTGGTACGTCCTTTTCCTCTTTTTTTTCTTTGGATATAAGTACAAATTATGGATTTTGGGTTTTTGGATTTGATTAGAGAAGAAATATTAGTGTTGTTTTCTTGAGACTTGAACTGAGCATTACCATCAGCAACATGCTGTAATTATGCTCAATAAAAGGAATGGGCGTGGTGTTTCCTTTCAGTTTATGAAATAACTCATAGGTGAGTTTTGCACTTGTTTTTGTAGTTGGCAGACTTGGGTTCCTTATCATAAATGTTATATATTGCAGAATAAGGTTTAAGAGCTTCACAAGCCTTCTATAGAAGAAGGGTCAATGTATATCAAAGATGATGCAATTATTTAAGCGTTTGGTCCAAAGCGGCGTGGTAGTGTAAGAGGGCTTGGATTTGGAGCATTGCCATCGAAAGTTGATGCACAAGCATACCAAAATCAAAATATGAGACAACTAAATGAAAAATTACTGCTATTAGAACAAGAACGTCGGGAGATGAAAGCTGAAATGTTAAAAGGAAAAAAGGCAAAATGAGGAAAAAAAATAAAATAAAAATGAACAATGTCACAATATATGAGGTTAAATTTATCTTCCTATAAAATTTAATTGGTTTTTAACTTTGGTACTTCCCATCTTAGATATAAGGATATTTCACAAAGTTTGTAAAAATAAAAAATTGATTAATACTTATAGGAGTCAAGCAAAGGGGCAAATGGACACTCATATGGAGAAACTCAGGTAAACTTGCACATTTGTCATGCTTGCGCTTTTGCTTGCTTGCTTTTCTACTCAAACTTGTCATTTTGCATATGGATTATATTAAGATTCTAAATTTAAGTAAACAAATATTTCTTGCCATTGTATTATGATTTTTTTAGGGTGAGGAAAACGGTAGAGGTGAACATAGGGTGCATGGAGGTGGTGAACGTAGGATGCACTCACAACAAAATATTTGGATAAATTTTGTATGGCATTATTAATTTACTCATTTTCATTTTTCTCGTGTTTCTGTTTTTGTTTGCTCGCTTGCTTTTCTACTCAAGAGCTTTTGTCAAATTTTCATATAAATCCCACATCGTCTACAAAATTTGGATAAACAAATATAACTTGATATTGTATAACATTTTTTTTAGGGTGATGAAAACAATGAAGACGATGAAGATATTTGGGTAAATTTTATATGGCATTACTAATAATTTTAATTTTATCTTCAATTCATTAGCTTATCTTATGTATTGCTTTCATGGTAGTTGCATGATGCAAATAAACTGAAAATGGTGGATCCTTGGACAATGCCAAATGCAAATTGTTGAATTGGGATGGAACAAAGGTGGTGGTTGCGGAAGGCACAATTGCATCAACAGATTCTAAAGCATTGGTACATCACGTGCTTCTTGGCCCTGGGTATTGGAAGGTATGGGTTAACCATGTCATAGTTAATGCGCCATTATTTTGCCCTAATCGTGAGATGTTTGTGCTTGAAAATGTTATTGGAAGCACTGTTGCTTGGCCAACCCATTTCATTAGCTTTGACTTTGAGTAGAACTAACATCTATGGATAGTTTTTAAGGACTTTAATGAATAGATTTCTATAATTTTTGAATAGTTTTGGGTGTTTGGAATGAATATATTGATAATTTTTTAACGTTTATAATTTATATATATAGTTTATTTTTTATGGTTGAAATAATATTGTCGTGGTTGATTAATATTTTGTGAAGCTTGTTTGTAATATTAGATTGTACAAAACAGACCAAATAGAATCTGCTGAATTAAAAAAAAAATGCACATTTTACGGCAATCAAATTAGGTCATTATATGAAATATTTCACAGCGTTTCATGTATGTCGTCGTATGTTTTACTTATCTACGGCAGGCTGAGCAAGTTGTATTATATATTTTACGGCACACAATCAGCGTCGTTATTTGTCCCACCAAATAACAGCATGAAAAAGTGGTCGTAGAAAAAATAACGGCACACAAAATTTGCCGTTAAATAGTTTTTAACGGCCTACTATAAATGTCGTAGAAAAAGTATAAATGACGCATAAAATCTGCCGTTAAATAGTTTTTAACGACGTACTACAACATGTCGTAAAAAAAGTATCAACGACGCACAAAATCTGCCGTTAAATAGTTTTTAACGGCGTGCAAAACATGTCATTGAAAGTGAACAACTTTTCATGACTGGTCATAATATAACGTGCTGTTGCACGTCGTAAAAGGGTTTTTACGGCATTTTCTTGTAGTGTAACATGATGCATCTAAGGCCTAGAGGGCTTGGTCTTCATTGTCCTTACTTCCAACCAGAAGTTCAATGAGGGAGATAGCAACAGTAACATTTAGACCCTCAGGTTAATAATAGGCAGTAAATAATGAACATCATACAAGAAATGTATGGTCCAAACTTGAGAAGGCCAGATAGACCAATGTTTAGGAGTCCTTACCCTCCATGGGTGGAAACAACTCCCATTCCAAAAAATTATAAGATTCTTGAGTTTACTTTGTTGACAGGAGAAGAGAGATAGTCAATTATAGAACATGTAGGTACGTTCATTCTTTAGTGTGGAGAACTTGGTTATGATAATAATAAAATATGTTAGCAAAAATCTACTTAGAGCCAAATCGACAGACGAGATTCAACAGAGAAACCAAACTTTCACAAACAACAAATCAAGCAATTACGGTTTGAATGTCTTATGCCTTGACAAATTTAAGAACTTCTTTGGAGGTTGTAATGCGAAGAAACAAATGTGAATAAAATAAAAATCGATTGAAGAACAAGTAAACTTGTCATGTAATTACAAGAATTAAATTACAAGCTCAATGTACATGACAATCGATAGAGGGAAACTTGGCCACATAGGCTGAATTCTACACAGACTATTCCTAAATACAAAAGCTATTGCTAACTAAGTTAAATTACTCCTAATTCCATAAGAATTGTGTGTTTGATTGTCCTTTTTTTGAAATTCAGCCTTTATGCTGTTGGCTTTGCTGTTTTTCTACTGCTACGTGTCCCATCATGGAGCAAATTTTTCCCACTTCTTGCATAACTACCCACTATCTTCACAACTGATGGTAACTGCTCCTTTGTTGCAACACTTTTTTTCTCTGCAAATAAACCACGTATCCTGCATCATTTGCGTGCCTTATCTCATGACTTGACACTTGGGCCATGTTTGGCCCCATCTCATCGTGTTTTCAGAGGAATCGATAGAAGAAACTGAATCTGCCACATCTGTTCCTTTAATTGCGTCACTTAACCCTACATTTTAGGGTCCATCTCCCACTGGAAGCTTATGGTTATCACCTCTATCATCCCTTAGATCAACTCTCCGTATTTAGGCCTCGTTTGGGAACATGCTAATTTAGTAACTTTTTGGCTATTTGGCTAAAATATGAGCTAAAAAAAACTAGTATATTTGGGATGACTTTTTAGCTTTTTACGAAAAGATGTGCAAAAAGTAGAGAAAAAAGAAAATTTTTGACTTTTTGGTATGGATTGTTGGCTTTTTGACTAATTTAGTAATTTTTTGGCTAAAAAGGAGAGTTTCCAAACGAGGCCTTATTGTAGCTATTCGACAGCGATGATAAATTTTAGTGCCAACAATGCCCCCTTCATTCAAGACAAAATAAAGTTTGGACATTTATATATTTGGGCGATGCATTTAGGCTTATAAAAAACGAGCCCACAAATCGAAGCCTAAATATTTAAAGTAATATCCGGATGTTAAAATAATCATGAATTCAAAAAGGCTCAACCGTCAAGCCCAATTGTAAGTGACAGGTCCAAACTTAATCAAAAGGGTCCACCATAGGCTATATGAACATCAGAATTCAAATCATCACTTCGCTATTCTCATGTCCTCTGCTCTACTCTGTTCTTCGCCTTCCTCTTTGAACTTTTCTGCTTTGAAAACCCTTTTCCTTGTTTGTACATTCCGATGGCATTGAAGCGAGCTCAGACCAAAGGAAAGAAACAAGCAGATACGCTATTTGTGCAGCGCTTCCCAACTGAGTTCCAACCAATACTTCGCCAATATATTTTTAATAGCTGCATTATTCTCCGCAGCAACACCTCTGCCCAAGGGGAATTAGGTCCAGCCTTTTTTGCCAAAATCTCTGATGAATTTACCCTCTATTATCCCATAGCAGATACTGAGGTGATGCTTTTAAAAAAAGCGAAACTAGCCTGGAACCAGTGGCATTCAAGCCCTAACCCCTTACATTCGTGGCAAAAACCAAACCCTAATTGGAGATTATGGGTTCATCGCATGATGGTTTACGATATTGACCTTTGGAGAGCTCTTGGCATTTATGATGTCATTCGACTGTCAACATTAGCCCTAGATATGGACAAATGGGCTATTAGCGCTGCAGCTTATTTTTGGTCTCTGTCCTGTAACTCTCTCATTTTAAAGTTTGGTATGATCTCTTCCACCATTCTTGATATTGTACATTTGAATGGCCTCCCTATTACTGGCCAACATATCAGTGCCCTTTTAACTCCTCAATCAGTAGTCCCACTTAACAACTTGACACTGACCTCAGTTATGGAAAGTTCCAAACAAAATATCAACAATTTTCTGGTGAACACACCAAAAAAAAAAAGGACAACTTTTTACTTGTTGTGGCTCTCCCAACATTTTCTATGTGTCCCAGGTCTCAAAATCACCAAAGAGTATTTGGCCCTAGCAACTTGTATCCAAGAAGGCACACAATTGGCCTTTCCCCATTTTCTTTTGGGCATATTATATAGGAGTCTTTTCTCTTTAGTCGATAAAGAGATAGATCATAGTGGTGGAGGTCCCTTTTGGCTTTTTCAAGCCTGGCTCTATGCTTATTTCTCTGAAATTAAGCCTACTACTCAAACACCTTACTTCTCCCCTTGCAAAAGTTATGCTGAATTCTTCTTATCTTTTCGACCAGTCTCATCCAATTCATTTACCAAGGTTTTCACTACTCTATTTGAGCTACCTTTCGATAAAGACCCTTAGCTTTTCATCCCTTTCCATAACTTTCAGTTCACTTCCACCGGATTAACATATATCAATGCTGCTTCTCAAACATTGAGTGACACTTGGAGGCAACAACAAAAAGACTTCTGGGCTCAAATTCTCACTTCCAGATATATTCTAGTAGGTGGATCCATTTCTACTAGCAGGCTTTCCAGCTGTAGCTTTGAAAGTTGTAATCCCTACCATCCATGAACAAGTTGGATCCATGATTCAATTCAAAATCTTTCAAGAAGTGAAAGATATGTTGGTTGAGAATCAAAAGTTATTTCATCAATTCAGCTTTTTCTACTGGCAGATTACCCCTTTTACTACCACAAGGTTTAATGAATGGTGGTCTTTAATGAGTGTCTTGTTCTTTGATGAAGATTTTCAGACTTGTCTTTGGAATGTGCACCCAGACAACAGGAGAGGAGCAGAGATGACTATTGGTAATTCTACCTAAGGACAAAGGCAAGGCTCCAATGAACCCCCTAAAGAAACTTAAAGGCAATCCTCTAAACACCACTAGTTATGAGAGGATCATACCTTATAACCAAGGTATAGAGATTGAGAGGAGGACCAAGAGTAGGCAAGAAGAACTCCAAGAACTTTTACCTTCTCAGTCTTAATTGGAGGGTGGTGTTGCTCTTGAGAGGAGGTCAAAAAGAAGGCAAGAATAATCAATTCCTCCTCAAGTCACAGCTTCTGCTCTACCAGCATCCTTTTCCTTTAACAGTTCTTCTTCTCTTCCAATAAAGGTATAGCTTTCATTCAAATTCTTATTGAGTCAATATGTATTATGTTTATTCATATTGACATCTTATTCCACTCTTCTTCCTCTCTTTTAGTTATACTTTCAATTATACAAGAGGAGAAAGCTTCTCTCTCCAGCTGCATCTCATTCTGCTTCTGAGAGATTGCTTGAGTCTCAAGCCACACTACACTCTTCTATGCCTGAGAATGAAGAACAGTCTGAAGCCCAAACTAACCCCCTTCTATGCCTGAAGACCAGACAAAAATGCCTTCTCCTTAAACAGACTCAGGGCATGTGAATCCTCAACTCATTCAAGAAGAACAGATTGGCATTGGGGAAGAACAGGCTGATCCAGAAAGAGTTTACCCAGAGAGAGTGGGCTTAAGAGAATTGGCCCCTGAATTGGCACATCTTATGGCTGATATTCCTCAAGGGATAGCTCTAGGGGATTTGATGGCCTTCCCTCTTAGAGGAGTACATCACAGAACCAATGAAGTCATAAACTTTCCTGGTGTGGCCTCTTCCTCAGAGGAATTAGAAGTCCCTGGCCATGCCAGAGAAACTCCAATTGACTCAGGTTATGTCAGAGAAAAACCAATTGATTTAACTGACAACCCTAGTAGTCAAACATCTCATATCGATAGGAGTTCTTCTATTCATGAGCCTACTCCTGGACCAAATGATAACACTCATCAAAACAGCCAAATTCAACTATCTGATCAAAATGATGAAGTTGACAAGGCTGATACTGAAATCTTGGAGAGTGAATCACCTTCAGATGAAGAAAGAACTTCCCACTGAAGGGATTACTCATCCTGTTAATCCAGAGGCTTTTCCTACCATGGACATGGGGGTCCAAACCTCTCACATTCATAGTCTTATCCAGGAGCTAACTCCAGAGGCTGTGGTCACCAACACCAACACTTCTATCGCTCAAGAATCACTGGTAATCACCTAATCTTTTCACACACACAAAAATATATATTTATTATTTATTTATTTATTAATTTTAAGTTACACCAATGATTAACTTCACTTTTTTATTGCCACATCTTGCAATAGTATCTTTTTCTTCAATTAAAAGTTCTTAGAGTTCTTCTTGCCTACTCTTGGTCCTCCTCTCAATCTCTATACCTTGGTTATAAGGTATGAACCCCTCACAGCTAGTGGTGTTTAGAGGATTGCATTTAGGTTTCTTTAGGGGGTTCATTGGAGCCTTGCCTTTGTCCTTAGAAGTTGGACCAGCCTGGGCAGGCATCTCTATAGCCAGAGGGGTAATCTTGCTAGGAGGTTGTGCTACATATATATATATATATATATAAATGAATGAGTGAGCAGAAATGGCTAAATAAACTCAAAAAGTAAGCAGTATATATAAAGAAAGGAAAAAGTGGTAGAATTACCAATAGTCATCTCTGCTCCTCTCCTGTTGTCTGGGTGCACATTCCAAAGACAAGTCTGAAGATCTTCATCAAAGATCAAGACACTCATTAAAGACCACCATTCATTAAACCTTGTGATAGTAAAAGGGATAATCTGGCAGTAGAAAAGCTGAATTGATCAAATAACTTTTGATTCTCAGCCAGCAGATCTTTTACTTCTTGAAAGATTTTGAATTGAATCCTGGATCCAACTTGTTCATAGATGGTAGAGCGTAAGTAAGGACAATGGGACATTTTGATATAGTCCTATTTGTCTGGCCCACTTGCAGGGATTATAACTTTCAAAGCTACAGTTGGAAAACCTGCCAGTAGAAATGGATCCACCAACTAGAATATATCTGGGAGTGAGAATTTGAGCTCAGAAGCCTTTTTGTTGTTGCCTCGAAGTGTCACTCAATGTTTGAGGAGTAGCATTGATATATGTTAATTCGGTGGAAGTGAACTGAAAGTTATGGAAAATGATGAAAAGCTGAGGGTCTCTATCGACAGGTAGCTCGAATAGAATAGTGAAAACCTTGGTAAATGAGTTGGATGAGGCTGGTCGAAAAGATAAGAAGAATTCAGCATAACTTTCGCAAGGAGAGAAGTAAGGTGTTTGAGTAGTAGGCTTAATTTCAGGGAAATAAGCATAGAGCCAGGCTTAAAAAAGCCAAGAGGGATCTCCACCATTATGATCTATCTCTTTATCGACTAAAGAGAAAAGACCCCTATATAATTCGCCCAAAAGAAAATGGGCAAAGGCCAATTGTGTGCCTTCTTGGATACAAGTTGCTAGGGCCAAATACTCTTTGGTAATTTTAAGACCTGGGACACAGAAAATGTTGGAAGAGCCACAACAGGTAAAAAGTTGTCCTTTCTTTTTTGGTGGGTTCACCAGAGAATTGTTGATATTGTGTTTGGAACTTTCCATAACTGAGGTCAGTGCCAAGTGGGATTACTGATTGAGGAGTTAAAAGGGCACTGACATGTTGGCCAGTAACAAGGATGCCAGTCAAATGTACAATATCAAGAATGGTGGAAGAGATCATACCAAACTTTAAAATGAGAGAGTTACAGGACAGAGACCAAAAACAAGCTGTAGCGCCAATAGCCCATTTGTCCATATCTAGGGCTAATGTTAACAGTCGAATGACATAATAAATATCAAGAGCTCTCCAAAGGTCAATATTGTAAACCATCATGCGATGAACTCGTAATCTCCAATTAGGGTTTGGTTTTTGCCACGAATGTAAGGGGTTAGGGCTCGAATGTCACTAGTTCCAGGCTAGTTTCGCTTTTTTGAAAAGTATCACCTCATTATCTGCTATGGGATAATAGAGGGTAAATTCATCAGAGATTTTGGCAAAAAAGGTTGGACCTAATTCCCCTTGGGCAGAGGTGTTGCTGCAGGGAATAATGCAGCTGTTAAAAATATGTTGGCGATGTATTGGTTAGAACTCAGTTGGGAAGCGCCGCACAGATGGCATCTCTGCTTGTTTCTTTCGTTTGGTCGGAGCTTACTTCGGTGCCATTGGAATGTACAAGCAAGGAAAAGGGTTTTCAAAGTAGAAAAGTTCAAAGAGGGAGGCGAAGAACAGAGTAGAGCAGAGGGCATGGGAATAGTGAAATGATGATTTGAATTCTGTTGTTCATATAGCCTATGGTGGACCCTCGGTGGACCTTTTTGATTAAGTTTGGACCTGTCGCTTACAATTGGGCTTGACGGTTGGTCATTTTTGAATTCATGATTATTTTAACATCTGGATGTTACTTTAGATATTTGGGTTTCGATTTGTGGACTCGTTTTTTATAAGTCTAAATGCATTGCCCAAATATATAAATGTCCAAACTTTATTTTGTCCTGTATGACATTCATTCAAAACAAAAACATCATTTTGTTTTGAATGAGGGGGACATTGTTGGCACTAAAATTTATTATCTCTTTTGAATAGCTACAATAAATACAGAGAGTTGATCCAAGGGATGATAGAGGTGAAAACCGTAAGTTTCCAGTGGAAGATGAACCCTAAAATGTAGAGTTAAGTGACGCAATTAAAGGAACAAATGTGGCAGATTCAGTTTCTTCTGTCGATTCCTCTGATAACACGATGAGATGGGGCCAAACGTGGCCCAAGTGTCAAGTCATGAGATAAGGCATGCAGATGATGTATGATACGTGGTTTATTTGCAGAGAAAAAGAGTGTTGCAGCAGAGGAGCAGTTACCAGCAGTTGTGGAGATCGTGGGTAGTTATGCAAGAAGTGGAGGAAATTTGCTCCATGATGGGACACGTGGCAGCAGAGAAGTAGCAAAGCCAGCAGCATGACGACTGGAATTTCGAAGGAAAGAAGGACAATCAAACATGCAACTCGTATGGAATTAGGAGTAATTTAACTTAGTTAGCAATAGCTTCTGTATTTAGGAGTAATTTAACTTACTTAGCAATAGCTTCTGTGGCCAAGTTTCCCTCAGTCGATTGTCATGTACATTGAGCTTGTAATTTAATTCTTGTAATTAAATGGCAAGTTTACTTACTTTTCAATCGATTTTCTTTTTATTCACATTTGTGTCTTCTCATTACAACCTCCAAAGAAGTCTTTGAATCTGTCAAGGCATATAACATTCAAACCGCAATTGCTTCATTTGTTGTTGTTTGTGAAAGTTTGGTTTCTTTGTCGAATCTGGTCTGTTGATTTGACCCTAACCAGATTTTTGCTAACAGAAATGCTTCAATTGGCTAGGCATGACACAATTGAAAGTGATTTGCTATTGTCAACTTCTTATATTGTACAAGATTTTTTCTTTCTTTTTCCTTTATTTATTTATTTATTTTTATCCTCTGTGTATATCAGGATAAAGGAGGTTGGATATACCAAATGAGGCAATGAAAGAAAAACAAAGCTGTATGCAAAAGCCTGAATTAAACTTGCTGTTCAGAATTGATGGATACATTATCCGTCTCACCATACACTGTTTTGTTTGAGGAACTTGAATGAAATCCAAAGACTACCGTAAATTTCTCTCCATTCTCATTACGGCCTCTTTTGGTACTGGTGAAGTTAAACGGACATTACGGCCTCTTTTGGTACTCGGCTTACAAGCTAGTTATTGGCTTGAAAAGCCCACAAATAAGCTAGTTCTTAAAGAAGCTATTTCATTTGGTATATTTTTGGTTTTTTTTGAAGTGACTTAAGCCGGCTTTTTTGGTTTCTCATATTCTTTTTTTTTTTTTTTTTTTTTTTTTTTTTTGTTGTGTGTTTTTAGGAGGGGAAAAAAAACAATGAAAATTTGAAAGCACTCCTCATTTTCATTCTTGTGCCAAATAGTTTTGGAAATTAAATACAACTTTTTGATGTTTCCTTAAATTGGGTTGTGTTTTGAAAATAATTTTAGAAAACAATTTGTCATACAATAATATGTTCGGAAAATAGAAGCAGAAAATTGAAAAAACAAAAGCGCAATCAAACACCATTATTTAGAATTTTTATACCGTATATATTGAATCATAAATATATGGTAATGATATTTTTAATCTTTTGGTTTATTATCTATTGCTTTGAAATGATAAGATTTAAATCTATCATATTATTATATATAGAGGTTGCTATAATTTTTTTTTGGTTAATTACATCAAGATCTCTTTAACTATTTATAAATATCACTTTAAGTTTCTTGTCTATGAATCTATTTGTTTGACCCTTTTAATTGTAAAAATCGTACAAATACATCATTTTCTAAGGCGGCCTAGAGAGAGTGAAAGTAACATATTTTCATAATTAAAAATGTCAAAATATATGGGTTCATAAATGAAAAAGTAAATTGATATTCATAAATAATTAAGAAGATTTTGATATAACTAATCCCTTTTTTATTATTTGTATATTATTAGAATTTTATTTTATTTTATTTTATTTTATTTATTTATTTATTTATTTTTCCCTGGGGAAAAGTCATCTTTTTCAACATGATTATTAAAAGCATCTAGAGATATTTGATGCTCATCTCCTGCATGCTTACTTAGTACAACGTTGTTTAAAAATGTGAACAACATGACTTAAACGTGAAACAAATAAAGATGTTTAAGTGGCACATATTACATTTTGACTTGTTATTTTTGAACCAGCTCAAAATAATTATTTGATGGGTCTATCTATCTGACATCAACTCGACTAATTCAATTAAAAAGTATTGCAGAGTTCTTTCTAATGAGTCAAAAATTGATTAGTCGTCTTAAATTTTCCAAGGTAGATACCATGGAAGGTCCTCATTTTGAATTGGACATCCTTTGGCCCAAGAAACCTCACCTATTTTGGATAATATTGTTTTTAGTAATTGAGCTGATATCATGTCGTTCTTTGAAAAAGGTTGGATAAATCTGAACTTGAGATAATTGTTCGGAGTCTAATTTCCGTTTTGATAATCTAAATAGTTCATTTTGTAGAATCCTTCATGTATGATAATGCAACGGTTTTGAGGGAGGGTGGGTCAGGTTGGTTCACGCTTCTAACGGGTCTGCTGGCCTTGGTGTTCACAAAGCATACTTGCAAAAAGGTCCAAGGGGGGAGGTAATCTCCCGACGGACATTTTGACGATCGAGTTAGGATAGAATAGTTTGATTGTGTAGAGAGGAAAGAAAGGGACGAAGAACTTAACCTTTAACGCATCTAGGAAGCTTCCTTGTATCATTTGCTTATTATTTCCTTGTCCATTCCGGACTGTCGTGTTGGCCGAAAGTCTATATTCTAGCTCGCATCGTTCATGGTGAGTTTGTCTTCTCCGTCGTGAAAGGGTTGTCGTATTTAATGCTATGAGAGCTTCATTAATGGCTGATGTGTGGGTGCAATAACTTTGTAGGATCTTTGTCTGTTGATGTGGCTATTCATGACAAGTGTTTAAATACTATTGGTCCTAGTTCAATATTGGTTTCTCAAGGATATTGGGCTTTGTTATCTAGGCCCCCTTGAGGCCCATTAGTATCGTATGGGCTTATTCAACAGATGCCTGCATCCTATGGGCTGTGGTCATCAGTAGTCCCCTATTTCTAAGTGCAGCTTCAGACCAAAGAAGGGAATAAGGAATTGGAGAGCAGTCCCCCAAGTCGAGAGAGAAAGAGGGGGGCGGGGGTGACTTATAATCGGCGAGGAGGTGACTAACTGGTGTGGGGGTCGGGAGGCGAGGAGGCGACTGACCAGTGAGATGGACATACGTCTGGTTGGCCGACCATCAAGTGGAGTGATCGAGCGGTGGGTGGGCCGACTATAGAGGCGACCGGTCGGGGAAGTGATCGACCGGTAAGGGGGATAGCAGACCATAGAGGTGACTGACCGTGGGAGTGACCGAGCGTTGGAAGTAGGCGTGATGGCATTGATGGGCACAGGGCTTGAGGGAAAAAAACACGTAATGATGTGAAGTGGAATAGACGGGGAAAAGGAAATGAAAGGATCGTGGCCGAACATGTGGGGGAATGGGGGCCACCAGGGGTGGAATAACGAGTCGTTTGTAGAAAAAATGAAAGGGTTTGTATTGGGGGGTGGTGAAAAGGCGGGGTGTTAATTTGGGTTTGATTTTCAGACTGGTGACGTTTAACAGTGACCCTTGGAACATAGGCAAACCTTGGGCATTTGGAGTTATTCATTTTACATACCTGATTGCGGGAAACCAACACATCCCAGACTCTACTTCGTTCGTTTTGTGTGACTCTCCCCTTCAACATTTTGCCAACTCCCTCGCATCTGCTTCCAAAGCAATATATAGAAACGTAAAGGAGATGGCTCAAAAAAAAATGCCAGCCATGGCGTTGGACGCGTTAAGGAAGGATAATGGGGTGGGGTTGGCAGAACAGTACTAGGTAGAGAGGGTTAGAGAGAGGGGGACGACGCAGCTTCTGCGACCTCGTCCGGCCATTATGATCTCGGCGGCCCAACCGATTAGCCAAGTAGCGCCAGACTATTGGCATACGAAGGCGGATAAATGCATTTTAACGGAGGAGGACCTGGAGGAGTTGCGGTGGAAGTATCAAATTCCAGCGAAGATAGAGTTGAGGTTACCGACTGCTTTGGAAAGATCGTCGGATACGCGACCAAATGAGTTCGCGTCGTATGAGGAAGTGTTGCGAGGAGGGTTGAGATTGTCTCTCCTCCAACTGGTGGTGGAAGTGTTGAATCAGCTAGAGGTGGCGCTAGGGCAACTAGTGTCGAACGCCTGGAAAATTCTTTTAGCTTGAGCGATCGCATGGCCACAGGCGACTGAGGAAGAGGCAATGACGGTAGATGAATTTTTTTCATGTTACAAGGCATCTGGACAGTAGGAGACATGGGTGACCCTGTAGGCGGTAGTAGGGAGAGGATTGGTGGCGGGGTTGCCATCTTCAGTGAAGAGTTGGAGGTCGAAATGGTTTTTCGTGTCGGCATATGGTGGGTAGGAGTTTGTACGATGTGGAAAGTGCCCACCAAATCGCTGGAGCCAAAGTTAGACGCGAAGGCAGAAAGGATGGTCAAACGGGTGAAGGAGTGGAGGGAAAAAGAGGGGCTAAAGTGGAACAACCTTGTCCAACCCTCAGCCTTTTTTGCCCTAAACTTGGGGCCTGAGCCAACCGAAGGAGATTCGGTTCTAGAAGAGGTGGAGACAAGGAGAAAGGTGCAGGAGACGGAAGACAAGCGTGCCTTCGCAATGGTCGAACAATACAAAGAACAACAATGAGGCCCAACGCCTAAGTGGGTCGCGAAAAAGCCGGTCCGACCACGACTGAAACCCTTGGGCAAGAAGGACTTAACCGATTTTGTGCCTTTGCAGGCGCTGGTGGACTCGTTGAGAGAGAGGAGCAAAATGGAGGTGGAGTTAGTGCTAAAGAAGAAGAAAAGGAAAGTGACCGCAAAGGGTGAGAAAGAAGGGCCCTTGGTAAAGAAAATAAAAGAGGGAGTGGTGGAGATGCCCCAAAAAAGTAGGGGAAGAAGGGACCAGGGTTGGTGGGGAGGGAAAGGGAGGCTTAGCCGAACCCTTAATCGGCCAAGTGAGGAGTGTGGCGGATGAGCAGAAGGGGTTGTCAGAGGGCAACCGATCGACAGACCTGCCCTTCGAGGATGTGCTATTCAGAGAAGTGCCCCCAATGTAGGAGGTGGGTAAAGGGCAGGCGAGCGGAGTAGAGAGGAGTGTTGCGTTGAGGACCGCCACCCATCATGTGTGCGCGATGGTTGGCTATTTAGAAGGGCATGAAGGCGAAGCTAAAGTGGCCGCAAATCGTCTGTTGGGGGCTATAGAGGACGCGGCGATACGGAGTGTTTGCAATTTATAGAGGTCAACCTCATCAGAGGATTCTACTCAATGCAGATGGAGACAGCGGCCTTGGCGGCTACCCTTCTGAGCAAGGCGGTGGGGCGAAGGTGGAAACAGAACCGCTGAAGGCCCAGTTGGAAGGGGTACAAGCGCAAGTGTAGAATTTGAAGGAGGAGATGGCTGGCTGGAGAAAGGCAGTGCGGAGTGCCTGCGCCAAGGGCCTGGCCTACACTTAGAGGGAAAAAAGGTCAGACGTGTTGACGGTGGCGCAAGGTTATCTGGCGGAACATGCCAGAGTGGGCCAAACAGAGGCTACGGCAGAACTGTCAGCCGTCAAGGCAGAGCTTGAAGTGACATGTCATAAGACGGTATCACTTAGGATCTCATTGGTGAGCCAACAGAAGAGGGCTGATGAAGCTCAGGACGCCCGCGCCACTGCCACTAAGAGGCTGGAAGAGGCTTTGGTGAACAACAAAGAGCTACTTGAGCAGGCTTCGAAGGATATGGAGGAGGCGTATGCACAAATGGCAGAGTTAGAGAAAGCCTTGGAGAAGGAAAGGGCCAAGTCAGCAGAGTTAACCAAGGTGTTGGCATCTGAGAGGGTTGCTTACCCTGATCTCTGCTATGCTGCGGTGGAGCAGTTCAAGCTATCCCCAGAGTTCCAAATGGCCGTTGATGTGGGTGTGGCAAGGGGCTGGGCCAGAGAAGGGGAAAGCGGTGTGGGACCATCGAATATAGCTGTTACGGAGCTAGTGGAAGGGCAAACCAAAGAAGAAATAATCCAGAGGTTCCAACAGTCAAACTACTGCAAGCATAAGATGAACATGTACTGGGATAGTAACTGGACGAGCTTCAAATATAGGGCAGAAGAGCTATTCCCGGACAAAGCTTTTAACTGCGTGAAG